CATACCTTATACGTTATTTACTACAAAAGTGCACCTTACCCTTTTCTCTTTATTATATATGTAGTTCCTTCGTCTTAATGTTCTTTTATTATACACGTAGTAGGAACGTTGAGACACTGTACTTCCGTCAAGATAATGTTTACTTTTATCCTCCTCACCGCTGATCGGCTCGTTAGCCGCTTGTGCGATTGGTCACGTCTGTGTTCTTCACTGCTGGCAAGTACTGGGCATGCACTGGCTCCTGAATATATCTGAACCCGGGCACAGATCACTGACCCATATCAAGGCCTGAGGTGTGAGAATAATAATGATAATAATAATAATGATGATGATGATGATGATGATGATGATAATAACAATAATAACAAAAACAACAACATCAACAACAACAATAGCAATAACAATAATAAGAACAATAATAATAATAATAATAATAATAATAATATTAATAATAATAATAATAATAATAATAATAATAATAATAATAATAATAAATAAAAAATTAAATAAATAAATAAATAAATGAAGAGTGAGAAACGATATACAGTAGTAAAAATCCGGATGCCAGAAATCCAGACCACCCGAGAATCCGGACTTTTCGAAAACTCAAACTTTTTTTTTTTTTTAGCGGGCTTGTGTGTGTATGTGTGCATGCGTGAGCGCCACAGCGCCACAGCAACAACAAGCCACCACGCGGTCGCCACTTTAAAACGAGCAATCTAACTGTAACAACATGTGTAATTTTGAGTCCTACTCTTTCCATGTACAGAGTACAAGCCCATAATAATGGCTCCTAAAGTAGATAAACTTCGTTGTGTGAAGAGAAAGAAGAACACGTTGAAATTGAGTGACAAACTTGAAATAATTAAGAAACTAGAACGTGGTGTGAGCAATACTGTTCTAATGGAAACATACCACATTGGAAAGTCAACAATTTATGATATAAAAAAGACAAAGAATAAAATTCTAGAATTCAAAGCTTTTTCTTTAAAACTGCTCATTTTGAAGCATGCTATATTTGCTAATGAATAAATTATCAACATGTACCTGTTCATCTCTTCTTTATCCTTCCTTTAATCTGAATTTTAAAAGTACTGCCTGAGAATCCGGAAAATCCGAAAATCCGGACCGACCCAATCCCCAAGCAGTCCGGATTTTTGGACTTATACGTATGTATATTGTGTTGTCAATAGTAAGAGAAACAACTGAGACCCTGCAGTTATGAGTAAATGAGGCAGAAAGTCAGTTCAGCAACCTGGTACTAATATTGCTATGCCATATGGCAGCAGAGTCTACCATTAGACAACACATTATGCTTCCAATATCTTTCCAGCCAGTAGTACCTCCCTGTTTGATAGCTGCCGACTACAGGTACCCTGTAGTATATGGCAAACTGTCAGCTTATTTCCACTAGGCTCCTTTGTTGGTTTTTTTTTCCATGGATGTATTCAGTAAAATCAAAAGCGAAGTTAACATTGGTCAATTGACAGTCTCTAGCATACCTCAGGGACCAGACAGGGAATTACCTCACTCTTGTAGATCATGATGAGCAACAGGCCAACCAGATATCAAAAGACCTAATAGTTTCATTGCCTGATTCACCTTCTTCTCACAATGACCCAAGAATTTAAGCTCATTTTCAACATACACACCCAGGTCCTTTTCACATTCGGTCTCAATTAATGCAGTTTCTTCATCTCATTGGGACAGCGACACGCCTCCTTACTGTTGGTGTGACCCAGGTGCATCCTTTTGTACTTTGTGACATTGAATCTTAGCAGCCATTTCTTCGACCATTCTTGAAGCTCATAGATATCTTTCTGTAGCTCTTCACAGCCTACTTGGTTCTTAATTTCCCTAAATAACTTGGCATCACATGCAAACATTTGTATAGAGGAGTGTCTAGATTCTGACATGTCATTAATGAAGCAGACAAGCAACAATGGGCCAAATAGATTTCCCTGTGGTACTCAGCTTGTCACAGGTACACATGATGATTTCGTACCATTTATCACCACACACTGTTTGTGGTCATGTAGAAAGTCTCCGATCAACGCTAGGACACTTTCCCGAACCCCGTACCCTTCCAATTTAATTCTCAGCAAGAGAGACGGGGGAGGGTTTTAGTTTTGTGTGGGGCTAGTGTTAGAGGGAGAAGGTTCTTAGTAATGTGTGGGGCGAGAGTAAAAGGGAGGAGGGGCAGAACACTGGGCACTCTCCTCCAAACATGTTGCCCGGTTTGCCGGTTGTTGACCCGATGGCCCAGCAAGCAGCAGGATTTCTGCCATTGTGAGAAATGAACAACGATTTGACAGGGATCTTTGCAGGCCTGATAAGTGCTTGAATGAGCTATACTGTATATAATTTCAAGTAAAAATTTAAATAAATCATGAAACAATAATAATTTAAAATATAACACTCAAACAGTGACATATTTCCATTTATTTGTCACTTTAAAACTTCTTTTGTATCATTAAATCATTATTCAGGGTCTTCTTTGACCAGCTAGCCGCCGCCACTTTTAAACAAACTTCACGACGCACCCATTGTCTTTTCTTTAGCTTTTGCAGATGCCTCACTTCCTTCAGCAAGTGAAGAACTATAGCACAATCCTGCAAGGCCTCAACTGTAGTAACGGGATCCATGGTGAACCTCGTTTAGATGCTTTGTTGTTGTTTTTGTTGCGTTGGACAAATGCGCCAACAAAACATCCCAGTGTGACAGAAAACGCCTCTTTGTTTTGCTGGTCAGACCCCGTTTGCCAAACATGCTTGGAGGAAAGTGCCCAGTGTGCCGCAACCTTTAGTGATCAGTAATAACAAAAACATAACTTATAAAACCTTTATTAAAAATCATACATAATGGCATCCACATATATCGGCTAAATGTTTACAGAAAGTAAAAATATAAAATGATTAGCTCCCTTTAGTGTCTAACGTTCCCATTTTGGGAACATAACTTTCAAATATTCTCCCGTGATTATTAACATAATATTCTAATTTATTTCATAGCAGATATATTGTTATACATCTAAATTACTATTCTGCATAAAAAGATTCCAATACTCTGTAATACCCATGTTACTTTTTGTGGTATGTTCTGAAGGAATTTGATGTAAAAATGACTACTCGAAATAAACATTTTCTCTCAATAAAAAAAATTCTCCTTGAGCTATTTATTTACATGGTGTAATGTCTAAGTACTCCTTCTTATCTTATACATTTCAATAAATGTGATTTATATTATAATTATGTCGCTATAAGTGTTTTTGTATGATGTTCCCAAAATGGGAACGCTGGACACATCCGTAGTCTGCCTACCCTTATTTACTCATCAACGTAAAAAGGAAAATGTCTCGTTTGGTCCTCACTCAATTCCTCCAAGTGTTGCTGATGTGCATTTAGGAAAGGAAATGTTTGAAATTTTCAAACTTTTCTTCACAGATGAAATCATAAGTCACCTAACAGAACAAACAAATTTGTATGCTCATCGAGACAAAAACAACAAAGACTTCTGTGTTGATGAGAATGACATGATGAAGTTTTTGGGACTTCTCTTGATCAGTGGATATCACAGTGTTCCCTCTGAAAATGACTACTGGTCATCAAGCGAAGACTTGGAAATACCAATATTCGCCAAGACTATGTGCAGAGAAAGGTTCAAATCCATCAAGAGGTACTTTCATGTGGCTGATAATAACAATTTGGAAAATTCAAAGGTGGCCAAGATTCTGCCCCTCCTTCACATGCTGAGAAATAATTGTCAAAAACATGGAATTTTTCATGAATTTCTCAGCATTGACGAATCAATGATCCCGTACCGCGGACACCACAGCGCCAAACAGTTCATCAGAAACAAACCTGTTAGGTTTGGTTACAAGATGTGGATGATGTGCAGTGCTGACGGTTATCCTTATAACTTTTCTATTTATTGTGGAAAAGATAAAAGCAAGAAGGAGCTTTTAGGCTATCAAGTTGTCATGGACATGCTACAGCCAGTGGTGAATAAAGATGAACATGTTGTATTTTTTGACAACTTTTTCACCAGTCACGCATTGATGATTGACCTTACAAGCAATGGGTTTAGAGCCTGTGGAACAATCAGAGATAACCGCACAGGAAAGTGCCCTCTTCTATCAAAGAAAGAACTTGAAAAAAAAGAAAGAGGTTCATACGACTACAGATCGGATGATTCCGTCCTATGTTCAAGATGGAATGATAACAGCATTGTTACAGTAGCTAGCAACTACTATGGAGTCAGTCCTATGCAAAAAGTAAACAGATGGGTAAAAAATGAAGGAAGGAAGGCAATAAACCAGCCACATATGATAAAAATGTATAACAAAGGAATGGGTGGTGTAGATGTTTGTGACCAGATGCTGTCAACCTACAGGCCAAGACTACGCTCCAAGAAATGGTGGTGGAATATATATATATATATATATATATATATATATATATATATATATATATATATATATATATATATATATATATGATAATATCATGAATGTACTCCGGAAGTGTCCAACGTTCCCATTTTGGGAACATACTCAAAATACAAAAATAAACCAGAAAGGGAAAAAAGAGATTTTTATTTTCATTCAGTGGATTCATACGAAATTCTTCCGAAAGTTGTGGCTCTATACCGAAACTTTATAAGGCTACGGTCACTAAAGGGTTAACAACATTCACCAATAGACCTGTCATGACAAGACAAATGAGAAATAAGAGAAAAAGCGCCACGTCAGAGAGGAAGCTATGGCCAAGAAATCAGAACCTATTCCTTCTCCTTAGATCAGCTGGGAACCTCCTCTTCATTCTAAACTATCATCATCTTCAATCTGCACTTTCAGTGAAAGAAAAAAATTCACTGAAGTTCTATACTGTATAGGCTTACCCTTTCTTATAAGGCATTCTACTGACCATCAACTCACAATTCTTGGCAGAAAAAAAATTATCCTGCAAACTTCCCAATTAATGGCACATTCAACTGTCATTTAGTTATGAAGAATCTTAAGACTTAATGGACTCAACTTTAAAGTCTATGCTTTCATAAAATAATGAAATTTGTTCCAAAATATGAGCTTGAATTCTGAACCTTTGTGAAAGTTTTGGGCAACCTTCAACTGCTTTATAAATGGTTCTGCAGTAATGGATTTTCTTTCATCATCATTATAATGCTGTTTTACTATATACTGTAAATATTTCCTTACCATTTGTATAATGTCAATTAATTTCTTAGGATCTTGGATGGTGCTTAAGTCAACTATATCCATTGGGAGACCATACTTCCTGTAGAGAAAATATTTTTTAAATTAATTACATTTAATAGGAACCCACACTACCTGAGCACAGACATATTTGCTTTCATTCACCCATAAACAAAATACAGTACCGTACTTGTGAAGAAATAAATCCAGCAAATATTTATCATCCTTATCAACTGGGAAAACAACTGACGAGATAAACACAAACTACCGACTCACTTATGTGGGCTAGGCTGAACTCCTGTAGCATCTGATATGAACCGAAATTCTGGTGAATTTTCGATGAGACTGGAGCAAATAAGTTTGTCCCTTTGTGGTGAATATGACTGTAGATTGCTGTCCGTTACGTTCCTCTCATTATGATACTGGATGTTGTCTTCAGGTTCCTCACTAGTTTCATCTCCAATAACCTGTCACCATAACACAAAGAGATAAACCACATTTTGTTACTGATTAATTATTTTGTTTTCTAATAAAGCTTAAAACTATCTTATTTAGACAAAACAATCATTTCTGGCAGTCTGCTCATTCAAAATTTCTGGTTGGCTATTTGGATACAGTATACAGGTTAAAAAAATGTACTTCATGTAATATCCAATTTATGAAGCTTCAGTTTAAGAAATCCCTAAGTTACAATAAAAAAAAGTCCCATAAATTGATTTTCTAAAAAAAAAAAAACAGAAGTTACGAATTTTTTTTCCTATTTTCATAAATTTTCCTAAGTACCGTAATAATGAAAATACTGTAAGCTAAAATAAAGTAGCTTTTTCTTTTTACTGCATCAAGTTTTATTTGTATGTCTGCTATACATCACATCAACACTCTCTGTAACACACTCACACACAGAGTTTGCTGAGTTTCAGTCATTGCTTACATGCCAGCTCCATACAGTTTCTATGAATTTATGAAGACTAACCTCAGCCAACTTGGGATTATCAATTTCAAACCGCACGAAGACAGAGAGCAATCTAATTTTAAAGCTACAAGGGCATTACAGTACAGTATTTTTATCTTACCCTGCTAAGGCACTCTCTAAAGTCTTCCAACCCTTTCAGTTCAGGCCAAGAAAACAGAAGACCATCAGTTGTTTCACCAAATGGGTTGAAGTCAAGCAGGATCACATGGTCCTTAACTGGACGGTACACATCAACCACATCTGTGAAAAAATAATATGTTTATGTTAAACATATTCTTATTTTCTTTTCTAAATACATGCAGTTAATATCACTAGAGGTGCACTGGACAGGCAACCCAGCTGGATAGTTGACATTATCACTATCTAGTACCTGGCCAGACAGTTAAAATTTAAAAGTTTGTTTATAAGTAATATCTCCATTAGTCGGAATCCCCTCTCAGTATTCAGAAGTTTAAGAATATTAATTATGGTGAGGCAAATAGCAGTAAATGATTAAATGTTTTATTCCACTATTAATTGTTTCAAACACTGTGGGGAAGGTTGATTTATCAGTCCTATGAACTTGAACACCAAGCATGGTATCCTGTTGTCCCCTGCACTCCAACTTATTTAATTTTTTGGTGAAAAAAGGTGCAGTTTATTTGTGTGCATAATAATATTTCTTGTGAATTAGAATGCTTCCTGTACAAAAATATAAATAAGGAGAGATGAGTGGCATGTAAGTGGAAGCGACTTAAGATATTACACAGGAGTTCAGGTGCAGGCTCCCATTTACATTAACCTATTTTTATAGAAATCAATAAAAACCATGTTATCCAGCTGGATAATCTGGTCTGGATTTAAAAAAATAAATAAATTCATGATCTGGTGAATCCCTAAATATAACATTATATCTACATCATTATTCCTTCCTTCACTATGAATTCAGGTTCTATACAACCACAAAAGTACGTAAACAACATGACAGAAATATGCCCACACACACACCCACATATATAAGTCTCAAAGCATAAAAGCGTAAATTTTACTGCTGTTTAAACTTACAGTCATGAAGAGGGAATCTGTCATCTATGTTTTCTCTCCAGAAGCTGATAATGTCATTGCGAATATTAACTTGATCACCACCAACACAAGAGTAACCCTGGCTTATATCACGCTGAGAAATACCTGCGGAATAATGTAGAAATTAAGATCTAAACTAATAAATACTGTATTTATCTATCAATCTATCATCTTTGTTTCCCTCCTATTTTTGTGCTGGGTGAATAAAAGGTTAGAAAACCTTAAAAGAATATGGTGCAGGATATGTGTATAAAGTGCTGAGAGAACAAGTAGAAATACCCCCACATATACTGTATACTATTGTACTTTAATATCCTTACCTTCCACATGTAGTAAACATAGTACAACTTCAGACAGCCCACTGATTCAACATTTTCTTCATCATTTTGTATCAAGTAATTTAGTCAAAGTCATAAATACCATCCCACTAAATTTTTTATAAGCATGATGTCTCTCTTTTGGGGGATACATACGCGCGTTCATTAAAAGAGGCGCATGTTCGATAGGCCCATGTGGTGCCGCCAGTTTGAGCCACCAGATGTCATCTTCTAGGATGACAACTAGGCCAGTGCTTGTGTAAAGTGTGCTATGTTATGTATAGTGTACATAGTAGTGTTTCAGCAGTTAAGGTAGTTACCTTGTACGTACAGTAATGGTCACCACAAGATCACCAGGAAACAACTGCAGATTCAACCCCAGAATGGTAAACACAGTTTACCGGTACATTTAGTATTTGTATTTTTTCTTTATTTTCTGGCTTAGCTATTTAATATGTCTGATATAACGATCTTTCGGCTTAAACAAACCACCTTTCCCCCCAACTGATCCATTATATCGAGGGTTTACTGTACACGTTATTGCCTGTGTAACTCTGTGGGGATGTAGTTTATTTTCCTGCTTCTTCTAAAGCCAAACCACTTTATTTTAAGAGATTAATATATTCAGGCTCTCCCTACTAATGGTCTTAAGCCTCACTCACCACATCAAGTGTTTACCCACCGTACTCTCAGGCTCATCATATTGAAACTCAAGGACTCAATTTGGCCCATATTACATCATAATGATAGGATGTACAGTATCTCTCTTAACTTACAATGAGTTGAATACATATTAAGTTTTGATAAGTCAAGTGACAGTGGATCTATTCCTAACAATGCTAACACTTCTGTTTTTGTACTAACCAACTAGTTCTTTATTCCTCACAAAGCAGCGAAACTCATAAGCAGGGTTGATCTCCATCCATCTTCGTAATACCAAGCAGTAATCAACACTGGGATCTGCTACATCTACATCATCACAATCCTGGAAGAGCATAAATTTTTGTCAGAGAACTGACAATAAATTCCCTGTGGAATAGCTCTAGGTAACAAGTCCATTGAATTGTTTAGAAAGCAAAACATTTGTAGCTGTACAGGTACTGTCATTATATGAAATCATTTAAAAGATGAAACTTGTTTTTAAAAATATCCCCAATAAAATTCCTTTAAGTGAAACTATTTCTTCTTTGAATCTGCCCTAACATACTGTATGTGTTCTACTATGGTGTTACAGAACACATCAGCAGTCCATACTTAATAATAAAGCAGTATATGAATGTGACTAAAGGACAAAAAATCCTACTTCAGACAATTCATAAAACATCAAACCTTGAAGGGTGTTGTGAGGTCATGTGTGACAAAGTTGCTACTTTTAAGGAGGAGATAAACATCTCCAGGGGTGTAACATCTTAAAGAACTGTTGAGGGCAATCCATGTGGCATCCTGCAATGGGTAATACAGTACCATATTATTACACACACAAAACAATCAAATATTTAATTCACACACAAATAATATACAGTAGTTTTAAACACTTTAAAGTCTTTAACTGCATCAACAGATCTATATCAATCCTGACTGATTCACTGACATGGAAGTTTGGATCATCCTCCACTGAAGCAACTTATCACAAATTCTGCATCACTTTTGTTACTTTGGCATCAATATTATACTGATTACTGTAGCTACTCCTAAAAAAAAGCTGGCTGGGCACATAAAAACACAAGAAATCAATGATGATGAAGTTTGTCCCTTTCATAATTTTAAGCTGGCAAAGGTTCATAACTCAGTAGAATATAGATGAAAAACACTGAATGTGAACCTACATACCACATTTCAATTCATACCACAAAACATTCCCTAAGTCACTAAATAAATAGACAAAGGTTATCCAACATAGCCCAAAAGAATGAGAGACAGACAGCAGATGCCTTAAATGAATAATTTGCTTCCATATGCACACAAAGAGACAATGGATAATATTCCAGTACCAAATAAATTTATACCTTAGGGATGTAAAAAGACTAATAGAAATATCAATTACAGATGACATTAAAAAAAAAAAAAAAAGAAAAAAAAAGATAGCCTGTAAGAATTCAAAGTCCCTGAAGTGGACGGAGTACAGACTAAGGTGGCAAACAAGATATGCACTCCACTAGTTTCCGGGTATCAGTAGGCCTATGATATACAATTTTCTCTGTTTTTTCTGCTAATCTACTTATTTGTGTGTCACAGTACAGTAAACTTGTACCATAGCACTAACACGTTGTCATAATGAGGTCCAGTAAGCCTGGGCTAGATTTATGCTGATGTACGTTGTATTGGTATTGCATTCTTTAACCTCGGCTCCGATGGCTAGGAATTTTCGCTAATCTGGAACACATTTGGTTCCAAGCTTCCTGGATTAGCGAGATCCAACCTGCACCAGTACAACACAAGTTATATCAACACACCTTTGGGGAACTCCAATTAAGTTTAGGAAAGGCACTTCCTCCAAGCTTCTTGATGGCATCTCTGATCTTTGTGCTGTACTCCTCCAACTTAGGACCCTGAAAATAAAGTTAGCAAGGATAGAAAAAATTGCCACAAAAGTATTTTGATAATTTACCCAGCATTAAATTCATGTGCTACAGTCAACAACAAAAATTTCTGCACCTTTATTGTGTTATACATTATGACACACCGAACCAAGAATTCTGAACAACACTCATTTACGCAGGTGACGCCAGTTGATTTCTCTTTACTGTATTAACTATAAGTGACGCAATGCATCACACAACACGAAATACCAACCTTACCAAATTAACATGGCCTCAGTCAGTGATCGTTGCAGAGGCCATCAGACCAAGGGGTGCAGAACATTTTTTTGCTGACTGTAAAGTATGCTTAGTTTAAAAGTGACTTTCTATGTAGTCTAAGTAACATGTATCTTCCCAACTTTGGCTGATGAATATTAAAACCTGGTGGATTATACTGAAAATGATTACATCTGCTCACTTGGTAAGCTTGGCTTGATACAAGCTTCGAGTTCTTCAATGAATGATGGTTCAAACTAGTGGACTTATTATACTAATGAATTATCATTGGAGAAAGTAAGTAATTATGTGAATTGATGATGTAAATGGCTACCCCTTTCCAAAGCTTCAAAGGCCTGCCAACTGTTTATCAGATATGCAGAGGCATGGTTGGATAGCTCAACCTTTCTGTGATGTATTTGCCAAAACTTGGGGAAATAGTTGTTTCTTAGATTATATAAGAGTTATAAGTTGCTCACAACACACTCTATATACCTCCACTTATCATATACTACTGGTGTCAAACTTGCAGTACCTAAGAGATCAACAAACAATTCTCAACAGTAAGACTTATCAAACAAAAGTTGTCACTCACTTGCACAACACAGCCTGATGTCTCACACAGATCCCAGTCTTCAGTGTCTTCTTCCTCTTGTGTGTTCCTCTTATAGGTTGGCTCTGGCTGTGAACCTTCTGGGAGCACCAGAGTCCCATTATCTTGCATATAGGCCAGGACCTCTGGTGTTAAAGGCAGTAAAATGCTGAAAAAATGAATGCATCATGATTTTTTATCCTTCTACATTTCATAATTACAAACTACTGAACTTATGTACAGGTTCTCTATAAAACATTGGCAATGTGTATTGAGGGAATGTAAAGCAAAAGATTGGATGGCACATGATAGAAGGACTGACCAAGAAGGTAGTGGAGGGACTGAGTGACAGGGGAGGAGGATGAGCTTGATCACTTGACCACTTGCATCTTATTACCTACCATACTTTTTACATCCATACTGATGCTTTTCCTTGACTGTTTGGTCATTTCCAATAATACCACTTATATACCATAAACCAGACATTTAGGGTAAAAAATAAGATAAAAACTGTGAGTACCAATGGAGTAGACACACAGGCATTCAAAAGTGGCAGAGCCAACTGGCTGAAGAGTAATCAGTATACCTTACTCTAACTGTCCAAAAACACCTCTTGAAAAAATGGGGGGGAGCATTTAATATTTACTGATAGTGGTATCGCATTGAAATTTTGAACAGGTCTTTTAAATAAAAAAAAAAATTCTGGTACAAAATTCCAAAAACTGCCATAGGAATACAGGTTGGGCCCAGCTAATCCGGGACCCAATAGTCCGGTAGCTTTGATGGTTTGGGACGGTGTCATAGCTCACTTCTAGTGACTGTTGCCACTATTTTACCTTTAAACACTTATAATTTACCCCTATATATGCCTCCTAAGAGACCAGCAAGCAGTGAAAGAGGTTGTAATGCTGCAAAACATAAGTATGTGACAATAACTATTTTAGAAAACATGTTTATACTGAAGAAATTAGACAGTAATAGTACATTTTATGTATTATTTTGCCTTTTTTAACCTCGGCTTCGATGGTTCGGAATTTTCGCTAATTCAGAACTGGTCTGGATCCAAACTTCCCGGATTAGTGAAGTCCAACCTGTATATATTTTTCCATAACATCATTGACATCTGAAATATAGAGCGGGACACACCAAACAGAAACTGCTATTCTGCCGTGAGTAAAGCCTGAGAACAACACTATCGTACCACCAGTTTTTGTTTGATTTTGTTCATTTTTTCCAAAGATGTTCTCATCATCATAGTAAGTATTTTAAAAGAGGTGACAACTTTTTGTTTTAATTATAAGTATTTATTTATATTTTTTAGTTTTTGTCTATCTATGATCATACTGTAAATCACCTGTAGTGGGCAGAGCTTGAAAACTGGTGGAATTTCGGTGGTAAAACACAATGAAAAACTAATCATATGACTTTATAATGATGCCTCTACATGCTTTTTACATGAAGAAATTAATTATTTACCATAAATACTCCTCCAAAAAATCTGCCATTGTCGGCACGTGTTGTCAACTGCTGTTTGTTTACAACTGACCCACTTGGCCCCAGCGTGCTCTCACGTCCACAAAAAACGTAAAATTACACCATGAGGCTTCAACAAAGTTGCTTTCATTGGTACCAAATACTGTATGAAAATAAGTACTTTGTGTTTAATATGACATAGGGGCCTGGAGGTCAGTTTCTATTAGGCTCTAGTAAATGTTAACTCTTTTAAAATAGTTACTATAATGATAAGAACGCGTGAAAAAAAAGTAATTATTTGGATGAAGGGAATTTTTGCATTTACACACCACACATTTCTACCACTAATCTATTATCATGTTCGAATAAGATGTCTAATTTTAAGATAATTTTCATCTATTACATTGCCGGCGGAAATGTATAATAACGGAGAAAGCGTATCCAAAATTTTCTCTATTTTCTTCCATTAATCTTGCGCCATTATCGCCTACCTCACCTCCCACACTGATGTCTTCTTCATAAATCATCACGAGCATGCGTTCCCGTACACGTCACGTGGCCAATCAAAAGCGTTTTTGTTTTTGCAACCAATTAAAATGATTTAGGGTTTAATTCACGGTATTTTTGGCCCAATCAAATTCGAGTTTATTTTGGGTCTCATATTTTGGAATTCAAATTCATTTCCGACCATGGAAGTCTGTGATGGGTGTCACTTCAATTATATGGAGCTGATTGCGAGTTTTTGGGAAAAAACGAAGAAACTATAGCATTTTTCCGATTGCATACTGTTCTTCCAACCTCATTAAAGTGTACTAAGAGCAAGACTGAATGTAAATATCGCAAAGACCAACATACAGTATGTGGCATTGTGTAAGAATCTCAGAATCCAAAGACAAACAAAAACCTGGCCAATAAGGTAAGAAATATGTGATTCCATCATATGGTGAGTCAGTTAGGTTAGGTTAGGTTTTTGTTTTTCTATTGGTTTTTTGGTGTATTTTGCCATGTTTTGTTTTTTTCGGAAAACGTCCAACAAAAAAAAATCTATAAAAAACGGCTAATTTCCGCCAGAAATGAAGGTCATATTCGGTCTAAAAACACAAATACACTAGAAAAATATATTTTTTTACTTTCTAACAGAGTGTGGTGTGACAGTGAAAATTTACCCAAAACTGTGTCTAACCCCCAGTCATATATTAGCCCCCCCCCCTCCCAAAAAAAGACCAAAATCGAACAACAACTTGTGGTGGTAATGCTGTTTTCATACATCACCAATACCATACAAAAGACTACAATGTTGTCACTTCGATTTTATTATTCAGTATCATCCAAACACATCTGAAAAATTGGTGCAATTCCATACTCCTTGTGGTGCTAAGTGTCTCTTCCACCTTTACCAAAATGGTGCAATAAAGCATAAAACAGTAGGTACTTATGTGGAGGTTTAATGCAGTCCCAAAACCAAGACAATGTCATCAACTCACCTCTTAATGGTACATTTTTTGAACTTGTCATACCATGACGGAAAGCTACAGCTAAGAACGTCTTGTACTTTCATTGTAAATCGATTTTTGTCTAAACTTAACGGGCAGTGATTCGTTGCGAGAGTGTAGGCCACTAGGTCAGTGTTACTCAAGTGAGAAAACTACCAAAAATAACAAAACAGGAAGCGCCTCAATTAATATGACTGACCATGATCTAATACTGCATTTCTTAATTATCCATTTACCTGAAGCTTCATATCATATTTTTGTATTTTTTCTGAGGAAATATGTATAACATGGAAGCAATATGTAATGCATAAACAGCCGTCCACATTTATATTGACGACTGCTATTATCCTTTTGTCTCCACAAATGAAATATAAATTTTGATAGGGAATTCCAGAGCACATAAAGAAATAAAAAACGTACTCTCATTACATGATTATGAAAAATAATTAAACGCATCCGGACTTATTAAGGTACAAGAACGCAGACACTACGCTGAATATCATAACTAGTAAAATGACCCATTTGATCGATAAATATATACCCAAGACCAAACCCAGTGCTTCTAGGAATACGAGGGGATCCCTACACATGAACCATGCGGCGGTCGACAAAATTAAGAAGAAACCCCAGAAATTCAAGACGTGGGTTGGGTCAAACGATGAGCAAGACAGGAGATGTATGCAAGAGCCAGAAACCAAGCAAAGATAGAGTGTAGGAGGGCTGAAAAGGAGTTCCAAAGGCTGGTTGCACGCGAGGTCAAGTCAAACCCAAAGGCGTTTTACCGCTATGCAAAGTCGAAATTGAAAACGCGAGTAGGAGTATCAGACCTGAGGCTTGAAGATGGTAGTTACGCAGATTCTGACCAGGATAAAGCTGAGGCATTGAACAGCTTCTTTTCCTCAGTGTTCACAAGAGAGGATGCAACTAACCTTCCTGCGTTTGAGGACAGACGGTTCGACACAGCACTGACCCACATTGTGTTCACAGAAGAGGGTATTAGAAATAAACTGTCCAGGCTAAAGGTCCATAAGAGTCCTGGACCTGACATGGTGCATCCTCGAGTGCTAAGAGAGCTGTGCAACGAGCTTGCAGAGCCCCTGAAGATTCTGTTTTGTAAATGCCTGGATGAACAAATGGTCCCCAGTGAATGGAAAGTGGCTTATGCGGGTCCTATCTTCAAGAAGGGCGATAGTCACTCCACGAACAACTATAGACCGGTGAGCCTGACCAGCAACAGCCATGGGGTCCAGCCACCTTGGAGTACTATCCGACGAACTCTGGAGATCCCAGTGGATTAATTCCACCACACAAATAGCCCTACTGAGTTAGACACTCATCCACCAATGATGGGGGCTGGTAGTGGTGTGTGGCTTGGTGATCCGGCGTCACCTCGTGGACCGAGCGTTAGGGCCAGACGAGCCAGCTATGGGGGCTATAGGTAGTCTGAAGTGTCTGACGGCCGGGTCTCACGAAGGTAACTGATCCTACTGGACCTCGGACATCTCCCCAGACATAGTGGATACAACATCCACGCTACAGACACGGCCTAGGCTGCGTTAGGGACCTGTATGGATGAAGGGACGGGCACTTACTAACCGGTGACAACAACATCACGTTTCAGGGGACGTTAAAGACGTAAATATGACTTCACTCAGAGCATATCAACTACGTTACTGTAACGCTTGCACAAGCAACTATTAATTGGGTCAAATCACTTAAAGAAGGGCAAATTACAACACAGCGTGGAATGGCATACCTGTATGGATGAAGGGACGGGCACTTACTAACGGTTAAAATGCCGGCGCGCTCACTCAAACTAGGCCAGGGAGTCCAGCTACTCCTATTCCGATGAATTAATTTACGGTACACTCTGACGTTGAAATTGAGACTATGAACTCATTTTCATTCTCTACTATTATCTCAACTAACAATGCTCTGACTCGGCTATCGAAAGCAAAATTAAATTGATTACAAAGGGTTGGATGGCAACAGGTCCCAGCATACAGCGTCTGCTCCCATAGACAAAGGCGGGGGAAACAGAGAAAACGGGGACGTTTCCACTGGGGGACTCAGAAGGTTTTGTGGACGTTTGAGCGTAATATGAATCCTTAAGGTTTTCAGGTTAGCTCTTATCATGACCATTACAAGGTATTGGATATTTGGACCCATATTCTAGAACGGGGTGGTAATATCGACAATATTTACCTAGATTTTGCCAAGGCTTTCGACAGTGTACCCCACGAAAGGCTGAAAATCAAACTGGAAGGGTACGGAATTCGGGGAAATGTCCTAGCGTGGATAGAAGACTTTCTACATGACCGCAAGCAATGTGTGGTGATTAATGGCACGAAATCGTCATCTGTACCTGTAACAAGTGGGGTACCGCAGGGTAGTGTATTGGGCCCGCTGTTGTTTGTTTGTTTCATAAATGATATGCCTGACGTTGTACACTCCTCCATACAAATGTTTGCCGATGATGGCAAGTTATTTCGGGAAATTAAGAACCAAGCGGACTGTGAAGAGCTGCAGAAGGACCTCTGTGGGCTCCAGGAATGGTCGAAGGAATGGCTGCTGAGATTCAATGTCACGAAGTGTAAGAGGATGCACCTGGGGCGTACCAACGGTAAGGAGGCGTACCATATGTCCCAACGGGATGAAGAAAATGTACTAGTTGAGACTGTGTGTGAGAAGGACCTAGGTGTGTATGTTGACAATGAGCTGAAGTTCTCGGGCCATTGTGAGAAGAAGGTAAATCAGGCAAATAAATTATTGGGTCTTATAAGAAGGTCGTTCAGATATCTAGACGGTCCGTCCCTCGTGACGATCTTCAGGAGTGAAGTGCTTCCCCATCTGGAGTACTGTCACCCCATCTGGTCCCCGAGATATGCTAGGGACTGTCAGTGGGTTGAAAATGTTCAAAGGAGGGCCACCAAACTGGTGCCTGCACTTCGGCACCTCAGCTACCCTGAGAGATTGGAGCGCCTGAACTTGCCTAGCTTATACTACAGACGGGCAAGGGGGGGACCTAGTTGAGGTTTATAAGCATCTCAGGGGGCACTACTCAGTTGAGTGTCCTTACTTGGAGCTGGCGGACGCTCGCCCCACAAGGGGTCACAGCTCAAGATTGAAGAAGCCGCAAGTCCAGAAAACCGTGAGGGCAAACTTTTTCGGAGTGAGGGTTGTAAACTCTTGGAACAATCTACCAGAGAGTGTTGTGACGGCACCGAGTGTGAGCTCTTTCAAGAGAAGACTTGACCAACACTGGAGCGGGTTCAGGTACATTCAGGAGCCGGTGCATGCCCAGTATTTGCCAACAGTGCGTGACAGAGACGTGACCGATCGCCCGGGCGGCTAGCGAGCCGATCTTTTGGTGAAGAATATAAATGAAAAGAGACGTGACCGATCGCCCAAGCGGCTAACAAGCCGATCAGTGGCGAAGAGGATAAAAGTAAAAGTAAAAGTAACACACAACTCTTATAGTCACTTAGCACCATAAAGACCAGGGCAACTGCCACTACAA